TTCCGTGCGCCTTGGTGTTTAGTCATGCCGGCCACATGGCCACGGAAACGTCTTCGGACAGTGGCTTTGGCTTTGAAACGGAGATGAGCACCGCAACCCTAGAGATGAGCACCGCAACCCTAGAGTCGGACTCGACTGGCTTTCAAGCAATGGAACCTTTTACCTTTACCTACGACTGAAGGCCTTTTTTTACTATTGAGTTTTTGCCCAAATATCAGAGCATCCCATATTGTTGGCAACGTGATGATGTCACTTCCAGTGTTGCCAGGTCACCAGCAAACATTGATGTGATGTCCTGCTGCTGTTAAGTCCTCACACTGGCCAGCTGATTGGTGGTAAGGGGGCAGGGAGCCCGTGTCCCCAATGGGGGCCTGGGCAACCCTTCCCCCTTCCCTCAGCTGGTAAAAGGGGCTTGCACAAGGCAACCTCAAAATCCTGCAACGGTTCTCGTGTGTCTTGCCAACCTGTAAAGACTGATATTCCCAGGTCATGTTCCTCCCAAAACATTACAGGTGAAAGCTTCTTATCACAGAGATGTGAACGAGGACTCCCAACGTTACTCTGATGTAAATACCACCCTCGTTATCAAAAGAGAATCTGTGTTAGTCTGTTGCAGCGAAGTAGCATGGGCACTGAGTGGCCCCTTTATTCCAGCATCAGCTTTTGCCAGGGAGACCTCCCTTCTGCCGATGCGATGTGTGAAACAGAAAATTTTACGCGAACATTTGTGACTGAAATCACAGGGCGAAAAGAGGGTGGGCAGGAGAGGAGGTGACTGCAGCCATGAAATTAAAAGACGCCTGCTCCTCGGGAGGAAAGCGATGGCGAACCTAGACAGCATGATAAAAAGTAGAGACATCACCCTGCCAACGAAAGTCCACATGGTCAAAGCAATGGTATTCCCAGTAGTCATGTATGGCTGCGAGAGTTGGACCATAAGGAAGGCCGAGCGCCGAAGAATAGATTCTTTCGAACTATGGTGCTGGAGAAGACTCTTGAGAGTCCCCTGGACTGCAAGGAGATCAAATCAGTCAGTCCTAAAAGAAATCAACCATGACTGTTCCCTGGAAGGCCAGATAATGAAACTGAAGCTCAAATACTTTGGCCACCCAATGAGAAAGGAGCACTCACTGGAGAAGACCCTGGTGCTGGGAAGGATTGAAGGTCAAAGAAGAAGGGGACGGCAAAGGATGAGATGGTTAGACAGTGTTATCGAGGCAACGGACATGAAGTTCAGCAAACTTTGGGAGACGGCAGAAGACAGGAGGGCCTGGCGAGATGTGGTCCATGGGGTCACGAAGAGTCGGACTCGGCTGTACAACTGAACGACAACGACAACAAGGAGAGGACAGTGATAGAGACTTACCTGTCATCAGTCCTTCAGATGTGAGTCTTTGTGTATGGGACTGGAAAAGAGTGGTCATTACAAATAATGAACTATGAGAGAGGTCCAAGGGTCTTCCTTCCCATGGGATTGAGTTCCAGAGAGATAAACATGGTCAATAAACTTGATTCAGGGTGAAGCATTTTTTCCCCCCAGATTCCAGCTTACTTAGGAAGTACTTAGCAAAACAATGGGTTGCAAGCTCTACTTGCCCTGGTATGAGAATGTCTGCAGTAACAACCTTGACTGGGTCCTAGCACACTGTGGAAAAACAGTATCCCCTGGCCATCAGGATTGAAGGCAACCGTAGATGCCCGTGGGCCTCTGAATCTGTAGTCAGGGTCCAGGGGCTCTGAGCCACTCTCAGGAATTGTGACTCAAGTTGAGTGTGCTCTTGGGTGCCACGGTTCTTGGGAGTGGTGGCATCTGTGGTCTCCTTGTTCCTTACTGAGGACCCAGAACCCCTGGAAATAGGAGTTGCCAGGTCCTCTTCACTCCCCAGCAAGGGTGGGAGTGAGCTCTCCGGGAGTGTGCGGGTGGGGCGATGTCACTGCACACAACATCCCCAGCATGATGATGCCACGCGGAAGTGACATTGGGGATGCCACGCAGCAATGCTCTAGTATTTTGGGCAAAACTCTATGGTTACCATAGAGTTTTGCCCCAAATGCTAGTTGTCGGCACATGGTGCCCGCAGCATGATGATGTCACTTCCATGTGACGTCATCACACTGGGGATGTTGTGCTGGGTGGGAGGCGGGACTTCCCCCACCAGCCAGCTGACCAACTGTGGATTGGAGCCCCCTAAATCAGGGGACCCCCCCTCCCACCTGGGGGCTGGCAGCCCTACTTGGAAAGCTCATGTTATTGGGTTGGATCCAACCAACTTTTCCACCACTGAAGGAGAAAGCACCACCAAAAAGGCCCTGCTGAGGATTATGGGACCTACATGAGAAAAGTGTAGTGCAGAGGGGAATTCCGTCAGACTGAGTGGAAAAACCTGGCTGGATCCAGCTCGTACTTCCCTGTGTTTTCATGGTATTTATTAAGGATGAGGGACCTCTTGAAACCTCCCCAGTGATCTTGCCACCCAGAATTCTGCTGCAGGGCCTTGTATCAGCTACAACAATAACTCTTATCATTAATAGCACTAGTTGAGTGTCATCAGGGCAAGGGTCAACTAACTACAAGCTGAGCCTGAACTTCATAGTTGCCTGCTCCTAACTAGCCCAGGAATTCTAAACCGGGAAAGTTCAGACTCCCAACTTTCCTGTTCAGAACTCTTGAGTATGTCACTGCACATGATCCTACAGTCTGCCCACCAGTCCACCAGTGAGTTTCTGGACTATAAATCTGTATTCCTTTTATTTATACCTTTATTTTCAATAACAGCCTCTCCCTCTATAAGGGCCTATCTAGTTTGTTCACAGTACGTATTTGTCAAAATCCTTGCTGTTCCTGCAAAAAGAAACAACAGTTGTCAGAATCCTGGACTTCTTGTGAAGTGATATGTAAAAAACTGATAAAGCGATTTATTCTGACATAATACTGTTCACATTTCTCCATGAATATATTTTTTAAAAAATTGTAGAGGTCACAGATTGAAGGGAAAACTGGGTAATTTTTGGCTGGTGGGCAGTTCCGCTGATTTGCCATAGAGTTCTTTTTTCGAAACAACTAGAATCCCATTAACAAGAATACTTGCTAATATACGCAACACAAAGTACATTACAAATATAACCATAAATACACATCAAAATAGTTTCAGGTCCATTTTTAAATTGATCTCAGGATTTCTTCCCTCATGTTTTCATCTGGCTTAATTTTATTACATTAAATAACAAGCGGCTGCCTAATATTGACAGATCCTTCTTGTGTTCTCATCTGTCCATCCCTTCATTTTGAAATTGCCTATATCCTGTTCATTAGCAAGGTGAGCCAGGCTTTCTGAATCCAGTTTGAATCAAGAAACCTATCTTTCCCCCCCAGTTTTGTGCCAGAGTTGATCAAGCCGTGACTAGCAAGTTTCTCAGCAGTTCCTTTCTCTGGTTTCCATCTTCTGGGGACTGTGCCTAATAGGGTCATTTGACAATTTCACCCTTAATATTTCTTCTGATGTTTTAAACCTCTCCAGAATATCTTTACCACCGGACAGGACCATCAAAGTGAAGAAGTGAGCCATTTTTACTATTCCATCTCCAACACCCCTTTGAGACCGTGTTCCCCACCTTTACTATTCTGTCTCGGGTTAGATACCATCTATACAGTATCTTCACTACGTTTTCTTTTATATTTATGTTCAGTGGGCATTCCTTAATTTCTTTATGCAGAGAAAGCAATTCTTCATCTGTGATGTTAATTTAAAGATCTTTTTTCGATCTAGCCTTGCAAAATAAGGGAATTTTATCCAAAATTTATTAATAATCTGTATAGAGTGGCCATCAAATTAGATTGTTTTTTTTCTGGCTTGGCTATAATTGTAAGTATAATTCTAGCTAATTCATATTATTTGTTCTCTTTTTCAGAGACGTGCGGCTGATAATTTGAGGAGGCATCATCAATATCAGGTGAGTATACCATGGATACATGTATGTATGCACAGATGAGAGAAAACTATTAGTAGTTAGATGCACAGGTTCTTGCCAGGGATTTTAAAATATGAATGCCTATTTGGGGGGGGGGTTGTTTTTGGCCAAAGAGGTGCCCGAACTCTCAAGAGGGAAATGAAGGTTTCTATCTGTATACTGAAAACTTGTGAACTTTTAGACATTTTAAAAATAATTTTGTTGAAGAGGTTCCAGAACTCTGTGCCAGCGCATTCCCCTAGAAAGAAAGCCCTGCCTATTTGAACGTTCTGGTTAAATAGGCCTCACAGTTCTGTTCAACGTGTGGAATGGGGAATTTACCCAGCTGCTCTATGTCCCGAGATACAAGTCCTCAATGAGGAGTTCACCCCTCCATCCGGATTCCACACCCTCCCCACTGGAAATAAGAACCTTTCAGCATTCACTACCATCAAAAGCTTGTGCAGTTACCCAGTTTAGACTTCTCGAAATGAAACTGTTTTAATTTCACTGCTTAGAAACTCTTCTACAGATTAAAAAAAATAAAGAACTGGGGATTTACTCCAATTTACCCTGAATTAAGGGAGAAGACTTAGGGGTCCAGTCTATTTTAGTCATCAAATCCAGGCAAGATTTGCCCCACCTTAAATCCAGAGACTCTGGCCATGTACAGACAAGGCCTCATTTTACAATTTAAAAAAAGTGTTACCTTTGAAGAAAAATCTGAAATCTTAAAAAAAAATACATTTGGGGATTGAAATCCCTCCAAACACTGGAAGGAGGCTATAGTCAGACCCGTTGGGGGGCATTTGGGGGCAATGCCCCCCACAGATGAGCTCTGCCCCCTCAGACAGCCTATAGGAGCTTTAAGGGAACAGAAAGATGAAATAATGAGGGACGGGAAAATGAGATGCTCCCTGCAAGTGCTTGCAGGTTCCTGCAGAAAAAGAGTATATAATTCAGCAAGAAATCTCTACAAAGGATAAATAGATATGTGTAATAAACATATGTTGTTTCTCTAGATATAAAACTTCCCTTTCTGTCTTACAGTGCAACCCTAAGAAAACGTACTCCAGTCTAAGCAAATTGATTTCAATGGGTTTAAACTGGAGTAACTCTGTTTAGGATTGCACTGGTAAAATAATCTTTAAATCACCACATTGCATTTTCTGTCTTTATGTCCTGGTTCTGAGTTCTAATGAATCTAGAACCTGTATCCTCTTGAGCGGGCTCTGATTGCTCCTTCACTCTTGAGGCCAGCCAGGGTGCCCAGATCTTCCCCTGCCCCAAACAAAAGGCTCTTCCTCTGCAAAAGAATTCCTCTTTATTCTAGTTCCAGCCCTTGTACTCAATGGAAATTTTTAGTCTTCTGTTCCAGAACATCCCAAAGGAAACCTTCCTCCTCCCTGCTCTTCAGAGCTGCTGTCTGCTTATCCCCTACCTTACCAGTTCCAATTGTCCTGGTCAGGCAGATTCCCAACCAGGGGTCATGTCCTGCAGGAGCGCACAGGAGCGGAGCTCCAGCAGCAAGGAGCTCAGGGGGCGGGCACATGCAACAAGCCCCACCCCCTGCTCCCAGCAGCTCTCAGTCGGGCCATGAGGAACAAGAAGCAGCCAGGTAAGTTGCAGAGTCCCCCCCTGGCCTGCCTTCAGGTACAAGCGCTCCCTCCTCTGTGAGGGCAGATCTGCACGTCCCCCCCCCCATAGCTAGCAATCCAAAACAGTCCAGTGGAGCCTGAGCGGTGGGGGTTGCCTTCTGACACACTTCCGGTGATGTCAGGGGGTGTGGCATATGCAAATAAGTTATGCTAATGTGTTATGCTAATGAGCTCCTGCACCTCTTTTTCTATGAAATGACCCCTGTTCCCAGCTGAAAGTCAATCAGAGAAACTTGCATTTGTACCCCTCGTCCTGTCTGGGAAGGCTGTTTTCTGAGATTTAGCAGAGTGCAAATGCTTCTTTTCCCCCCAAGTGATACGTTTACACATAACCTGTGAGACAAGGTGTCACTTCATCAAAAAGGTGTGTCCCATGTGGATTTGGTTGGCCATGTAAATGCCCATGCTGCTGAAATCGTTGCAGAGCCTCTGTGTACGCATGTGGCCCCTCAGCTCCATTCAGAGCAGGATCCTAATACGTTATTTGCCACCCAGAGATCTGTATATTGATGCTCCAGGCCCAGAAGTCATGAGAAAATGTAGAGTGCACAGGAGACAGATGCCGTGCAATTCTGCATGCATGTACGTGGTTCTTCGACATTATTTGGGCATCAAATCCACCTTGTATGCTATAACATATAAATAACACGTATTGCAGGTATCATTGTTTCATAACTTACATATAAAGTGAGTGAAAGGAATACAGGCTGGCCCACAGCTACAGTGGGGCTATTGGGGGTTCTGCCCCCCTCCTTAAAGGGGCAGCCCCACAGCATTCTTTTGAGAAGGATTGGGAGGGTGCATGCATGCCCCCCCCACTTCGTCTCAAAAGCATTTGGAGGGGTACTTTAAATGCTTTTGAGAAGGCGCGGGGGATGGTGCGTGCCCCTCCCCCTCCCCTCCTGCAAGATTTAAAGGGCCCTCCAGCTGATCGACGGGACACATGCTCCCCACCAATCAGCTGAAAGGCCCTTTAAGTCTTGCAAGAGGGGAGAGAGAGGGGTGGCTGCCACCGGTCGGGCTTGGGGATGGATTGGAGCTGACATAGAAATAATGGTGGCCCCACCAGTCCCTCCAGAAAAATCTTTGCCCCACAAGCCACAAAATCCTGGCTACGGGCCTGAATAAAGTCATTCTCAGTTGCAGCAGTGGATATGGGTAGATTGGAGATCTTCAACAATGGCAACACGCAGGAACACAAAGGGTCCCTTTATCCGTCCCCCACGCTCCATTCACTCGTCAACTCCAGTGGCGCTGATCCTGGTTCCCAGCTTGTCCACCGACAGCCAGTGAGCCCACATTATATTTTACCATGTTCATCTCTTCTCATTTCTCTTGGGGCTATAGTTTAGTTTGGAACACTTTCCCTATGAGGAAAGGTTAAAGTGCTTGGGGCTCTTTAGCTTGGAGAAAGGATGGCTGAGGGGTGACATGATCGAGGTTTATAAGATTAAGCATGGCATGGAGCAGGTAGAGAAAGAGGTACTTTTCTCCCTTTCTCACAACACAAGAACTCATGGGCACTCCATGAAATTGCTTCCTTCTTCACCCAAAGTCCTTCTTCACCCCAAGAGTGATTAACACATGGAATTCACTGTCACAGGAGGGGGTGGCGGCTACAAGCATGGACGGCTTCAAGAGGGAATTGGATAAATATATGGAGCAGAGGTCCATCGGCACAATAATAACAGAAGAGAACTCAGATGGACACCGCGTTGTCCAGGCTGACAAAACTGCCGCCCACCACTCACAGCATCCCTCCTGGCAACACCCACAGGTTGCTCATGTGCAGGAACAACCTATCAGCGAGTGGCAACTTCCGGCACTGCTTGACTCCCCTCCATCCCCATCCCACATAGCCACATGGCTCTGGCTCATACACTAACAGCGGTGGCTCATGAAGGTACATGGGAAGGCACCTCCAGCTACCACCAAGGGGTTGATTCACCCCTGGTAGGCTAGACCAAGACAGCAGCCATCTTGTCAGGGAGACAGAGGGGTGGAAGAAAGTACTGGAATACTGTGTACAGTTCTGGTCACCACACCTCCATTGGAAAAAGGGCAGAAAAAGGCAACTAGAATGATAAAAGGGTTGGAACACTTTCCCTATGAAGAAAGGTTAAAGCGCTTGGGGCTCTTTAGCTTGGAGAAACGATGGCTGAGGGGTGACATGATCGAGGTTTATAAGATTATGCGTGGCATAGAGCAGGTTGAGAAAGAAGTCCTTTACTCCCTTTCTCACAATACAAGAACTCGTGGTCACTCCATGAAATTGCTGAGCAGTCGGGTTAGAACAGATAAAAGGAAGTCCTTCTTCACCCAAAGAGTGATGAACACATGGAATTCACTGCCACAGGAGGTGGCGGCGGCTACAAGCATGGACGGGTTCAAAAGGGAATTGGATAGATATATGGAGCAGAGGTCCATCAGTGGCTATGAGCTACGGTACAGATAGGAGCTCTCAGTCTTCGGCAAGTGATGCACTGTATTCTTCATGCTTGCGGGAGGGGGGCTTCTAGGGTTTTGGGGGTCTTCTAGTGTCCCGGCCCCACTGCTGGACCTCCTGAGGGCACCTGGTATTTTTGGCCACTGTGTGACAGAGTGTTGGACTGGATGGGCCATTGGCCTGATCCAACATTGCCTTCTCTTATGTTCTTATGTTTAGAACCACAGGAAATGCACCATCCAGTATCAGTCTACATGGCTAGAGACCACTCATGAAACAGACTGTTCTTCTCTTTCAGGAGGTCATGAAAAATCTGGTTAAGAGATACGTGGCAGCGATGATAAGAGACGCTAAAACAGAAGAGGGGCTGACGGAGGAGAATTTTAAGGTGCCTGGTCTTAGCTTGGAGGACTTGGGAACTGTGCATCTGCTTCAAGAACAGATTGCTTTAAGATACTTTTTGCTTGGGCTCTTCCGCATTCCCATTTTCATCGCTTGCCTGTCCCTATGGCTTCGAGGTTGTTTCCCCCCCCCACATTAAAAACCTGCACTTTAAACCTGAAAGGAGATAGGCCAAACATAAGGTAAAGGTAAAAGTTCCCCTTGCTCGAAAGCTAGTCGAATCAGACTCTAGGGAGCGGTGCTCATCTCCGTTTCCAAGCCAAAGAGCCAGCGCTGTCTGAAGATGTCTCTGTGGTCATTTGGCCGGCGTGACTAGACGCCGAGGCACACAGAATGCTGTTACCTTCCCACCGAAGCGGTATCTATTTATCTACTTGCAATTCCTTGCTTTCAGGAGCTGGGACCAGAGACGGGTGCTCACTCCATCATGCGGCACTCGGGTCTTGAACTGCCAAACTACCGACCTTCCAGTTTGCAATTCAGCATCTTAAACACTTGAGCCGCCACAGCCCCCTTGGCTGAACATACAGTGATGTAATATTGAATTGACCACTAGAGGGAGCAAAACACATGTGGAACAGACAAAAACCCCCAGAGCCATAGGGACACACCGGCAATGAAAATGAGAATGCAGAAGAGCTCCTTGAGAACACAGTCAAGTGATTTGCACCTTGAATCATACCTACATAGTTGGGGGTGGGTGGGGTGTATTGGTGGGAGGAGCAAGTCTCAGCCTCTGCCTGTATCACTGCTCCCCCCTTGCCCTGTAATGCTTTGCCCTTGTCCGCATAGGGGTTTGCAGCCCCAGAAACAGAAATAACGGAGCCCCTGAGAGAGCAGCAAAAAGCGGAGATGCTGAACACCAGTCCTCATGCCTGGATGGGGCTGCTCCCAGACTGCCTCCATGTGCAGACCAGCTGATGTAGCACCACTCTCTCCCCTGGCGGCCTTAGTCCCTCCCAGGGCACCAACATTACCTTCCGACTGAAAGCGTTCCAACCACTTTCAAATGTGAATTTCTCTCAGAAGTTATTCTGAATGTTCAGGTAGCTTCTTGACTAGTGGGTTTCTGATTTCCCCTCCTTACCCAGTGTGACAGCCAAGGCCTGGCTTTTCCCAAACGGGGAACAGCTGGCAGAGACCCGCATATCCTCTCCAAATCCTTTCTACTGTTCCTCAAGAATTGGCACGTTTCATTTGCCCTTTGAAACCTGTGATTTCTTTTGTCTGAGGAGAACCAGGACATCCTGTTTGAATTAAAACCCTGGTTCCTCAAAAATCTCCTCACAAACATGACTGTTTTGTTCCTGAATGCAGAAAGAGACAAGGCACCTGAGGGGGGCAGGATGGTGTCAGCAAGCTGCCATGGTGTTCTGTGTTGCTGGTACCTCTGTACAGTTGCTACCCCACCCCCCTGCCTGTGCGCTATTATTTTACTCTGCTGTAATGCCTAAGCCAAACAACTGGAGGATGTATTGGGGGAGTTCGCTTCACTGCCAGCTTGTTGCTTTTAGAGCCTGGGAACTGCACCTGTGTTATGTCTGGGGATAGCCTGGTTCTCAGGGAATGAGCGCGAAACCGTTTCCCTTCACCCGCCAGCGGGAAAGTGACCCATTGGTTCTGTATCTGTTTCAAATCCCTTTATTATGCTTGCTCTAACCGTTTGTAGTCAGTTCTAACAAAGAACGTGTTTGAGTGTCTTTCCAACGCTTTGAAAAAAATTTTGCTTTTCTTTAAAACGTGGATTTATTCTCGATGCTTGGGGATCCAACACAGTGTTAGAACTCTCAATCTTCCTATCGTCCCGAGTCTGACGTGGTCATGAGCGGGGCAGAGGGAATCATACCTACAACGGAGGGGGACCCGGGATCGGTCCCTGCAACCTCCACATCGTTGATCACCACGACCACCGTACCTACGTCGGGTGCGGTGGGGGGAGCGATTCCCCGGTTACCTGCGTACCTGTCTTGGCCGCCTCCAACTCCTTCCCGATGGGGCCCACGGACGGTACCGGCGCAGGATGATTGGACTTTATATAATGCCAAAGGAACCAGAGAAGTTTACTCCCGCCGAGGCAGTGGGCTTCGGGAGAGTCTGTTTGACAAAGGACTTTACCCAGAACCGGAGAGACCGGTCGGGT